TGAGAAAGCGAAGTGAGAGGTAATATATATTATATTATTGGATAACACTGGTAATATTGTATGTTCTCTCACTTATCACTTTTATAACAGCAAAAATATCAAATTGGTATATTTTGTTTATCCTTAATGACACTTTGACATATAATTTTTTTCCGGCGACATATTAGTATATTTTTCCCCTCCGGCGACTAGTGGGCCTTAAGTTTGGTCGGATCCAATTTTATGACAATTTTTCTCACGTGATGCGAACGTGACCCCAACGTGGCTTCCAGCGTGGCGGTCGTTGGAATATTTTACTCTGTTCGAAAGGGGTTTTTTCTCAAATTAGGGTTAGGCTTCTCCTCTTCTCTTCGTCTTCCTCCATCTTCTTCTTCCTCCTAGGGTTAGGGTTAGGTTGAGTGGAATTGAAATTAGTGATGGATTCTTCATCTTCAAGCTGTCGCTCAAGTTTATTGTCAAGCACGAGCATGGGAAGAAGCAAACAAGGGTTCAATGGGATAAAAGCTATACGATAGTGGAATGATCTAGCAAAACAATCTGGGGTAATGTTTGTAATTGTGGTTTGGATTGTAAATATTTTACTTCTATGATTGATGAAAATCCAAGAAGGAGGTTCTACAAATGCCGCAATCATCATGCAAGTTAATTTTGGATTTATTTTGAATTATTGATAAATTTTCCTTAGATTTTACTTTATACCTGTAGTTATGAGTTGAAGTTATGAGTTGAAACAGAGAGATATATATGAGAATATGCATGCTAAATACGAATTTTGTGAACACGATCTTAGAAATAACTGGCGTTAATTTAAATTGAATAGGCTGAATACGTAATTAATGCATTAATATAATTTCTATAAAATATTACAAAACAATTTTCAATCATTATATCATTTATATATTAATTAACGTATTAAAGCCTACTATTATCCAAATTAAAGCCTACTATTTTTCCCTTGCCAATATTGCTAAACCCTAATGATCTTTTTGATGAAGATGATTGGTTGCATTTCTCTTAGGTGTTTGTTTCTTCCTCCTAGTCTCATTGGTCACCTTATTTTGATAAGTTTTGGTGGTCGCTTGTTGCGTATGCACATCTGCCTTATTACCCATTAGAGTGGCATTAGTAGTAGTGGCATCCATAGTAGTAGCTTCTTGTGCTTGTGCTTGACTTGGTTGAGTTATTGATTCATCAATTGGTTGACTCACAACATCCAACAACAACACATCAGAGGCATCCACAAAAACTTCTACAGGTTCATTTATTACATGATCAATAAAGATTTCAATTGCCTTCACCCTTTCTGCATGTTCTACCATATCAATTAAGGAATCTTTTTAATTTAGAGACCTCAATCCACCATTGTCAACTCGTACACTAGGAATACGGTAGAACAAGCAGTTGACATTGTTATAGCCAATTGCTTTAACCTCATCATTCAGTCTTTCTATATTCAGTTCATCTTTATCTATAAATCTAACATCAAATCTACCACCAATATAATCTTCCACATCTTTCTATATTCAGTTCATCTTTATCTATAAATCTAACATCAAATCTACCACCAATATAATCTTCCACATAGCCAAGCGGGAAATTTCCTCCATGTCTGAAATCTAACATCAAATCTACCACCAATATAATCTTCCACATAGCCAAGCGGGAAATTTCCTCCATGTCTGGTTTTAACCATGATATTGACACCCATCTGCAATAAAATTATTACGAATTAAATAAAAAATAACTACTAAAATAAATTGCTTCAGGACCCCTAAATTAGACAAGCAAACAACCTAAATATCACAATCAAAACCCCCACATTAGACCAGCAAACCACCTAAATATCACAATCAAACCCCCCAAAATAAACAAGCAAACCACTAAATTATACAATAAACCGTAATCATGATTGAATTTCACAACAAAAAACACGTAAAATCTGTAATCGACACGCTGTTACCATGAAAAACCGTAATTTACACTAAACCATGAATTTCAACCCATCAACTAACCCTAGTCATCCTAAATGACCATCTAATTACTAAAATTATTTTAAAAAATATGAAACTTGTACTCACCTTTTTCGTCGTGCCAAAGACGATGAAATAACCCTAATAAACTCTTCGGCCTCAATGTAGATGGAAGATATTCACTTAGATCGTCTACAATTTGGGGATGATCACGCTTCTCACGCTCAAGTGCAAGAGAGGGAAATAAGATAATAGGGGGGTTCTCTGCCAGAGAAATCTTCAACCTCTTTCCCTCTAACTCCAGCACGCTGGAAAAAAATCGCCGTAAAGATGGATCCGGCCAAACTTAGGGCCCATTCGTCGCCGGAGGGGGGGAAATACCAATATGTCGCCAGGAAAAAAATTATATGCAAAACTGTGGTTAACCAAAATATACCAATTTGGTATTTTTACCCTTTTATAACTTTTATTTTATATATTTTTGACATAAACAACTTCAAAAAAAAGTTGATGAGGTCCAATAGGCTAATAATGCCACGCCATGGGCCTACAGCCCATTTTAATAATCCCCACCTCCTCGTTTCCGCGATGTTACCCCTCGCCGAGAGACGCCAACTAAAGATCTGACTTTTTATTTAAAAAAATAAATAAACCGAGCTTAATTGTCTTCTCTTCTCCGTCGCGATTCCCAAAACTCCAACCCTAATCCGAACCCGAATTATCCATTTGCCGCC